ATATATATATATATATTGGCCTTATGTCGTCTCTTTCTTTATTTTTCCACATACCACAACCAGCATAAGACCCCTAAACTTATTATCAAACTATCCACAATGGTTTCCAAGAATATTAACATCTTGGGTACGAAATCATGAAGCGATAACAATAGAACGATCCCTACGACGTAAGTATCGCTATATCGCCTCTCTTTTACTTTGTAGTTTGTGTTTTGGAAAGTACTTCATAGTTAATATAACATCTTCGTTTCCTAGTAGTTAGAACTCACGGGATAGTGATCGGAAGTCGTGAGTTCGAGTTATTCAACTTGTAGTGGACTATTTTGTGGGTTGTTTCGTGTTGCTTTTGGGTTGTCTATTTCGCTGATGTTTTATGGAGTTTTGAAGGATAAAAGGTGAGTGAGAAACACCACATAATGATGCAATGGTGGGCTGGTCATTCATCGTTACATTTTTAGGTTTTTTGGCACTACTTTTGTTCTCGTTATATGTATGAAGTGATTAGGGTGTGTGGGCTGTTTTGTGATATATTGTGATGGAGATAAGGTTGAAAAATGATGCATACATGTTATTTTTTGTTTTTTTCTTGGTGTTTGTGTTATATGGTATTGGAGGAGGGCCTTGTTACAATGGAGGTGCTGCCCAAATTTACGTAAACGAGCTACTAGTTTAAGTTGTGAACTTATTCTTTACTCAGCATTGGCTTTGAATCACCTTATGCTATGGTAGATTGAGTTGAGTTTTTTGAAGAATCGCTTGGAAGGTATTAAGAACTCAACAGAATTAAGGTATGTTAAGGCTAAACCTTTCCTTCATTGTGACGTGATCCAATAACTACATATGTTTGACAACGAGACATAAAAGAAGTTCATATTTCTGAATGTATGAACATTTTCCTAGTCTCATAAGTTATAGCATTCTCTCTTATCGGGACTTCATACTCAATTTAGTTTTGTCTTCTTTCAGCCAAGAGGGCAGATAGTGTATATATATATATACTGTATTACAGTATTTTCACCACCATCGAGCTATAATTAATAGGCATGCCCCTACTGGGCAACCTCAGATCAGATGGTGAGTTATATACAGAGACTACTGTGGCCGAGTGCCTATGAGCAAGCCCAGAATGGCCGAGATACAAAGCCTAGTATGGCCGAGCGCCAATGAGAGAGCCTACTACGGCAGAGCAGTTACATATACCGAGCCTTATAATGCCGGACAACCATTTTACTTATTGTATTGAGAGAGTTGAGTCAGTATCAGCAGGTGAGCATATCTTCAGATTATCTTTAACTCCTAGTTACTTTTAGTTATTATATTATTAGTTTAGTTTCAGCTTTCAGTTATTCTGTTGCCTTACATACTCGGTACATTATTTCATACTAACATCCCTTTTACTAGGGACACTGCATTTCATGCATGCAGGTCCTGATAGACAGCTAGGTAGACCGTCCCAGTAGATAGAGTCAGACATCATCTTAGTTAGTAAGCTCCACTTCCTCGGAGTTATCAGGTCTAGAACTTGGAGTCCATTTTTTATATATACAGGTTTGATGGGTAGGTCGAGGCCCCATCTCGACCATGGTATAGTTTAGTTATCTTTAGAGGCTTGTAGACGAGTCATCTATATTTTGTATATCATACCCAGTCTTGCTCTTACTTAACTTGAAACCTTTAGACTTCTAGGTCTGTCTCCAAACCTCCAGCCATACGTTAACTCTGCCTCGCATATCGTCAATCAAAATAATATCAACCGGAAATAACATACACCAAGGTACCTCCCCTTAAATGCGGTGCATTAGTGTGTCCAACGCTCAGGCAAATAACAATAGGCTAAGAGTCGACCCTTGGAGCAACCCCATCACAACTGAAAAATGCTCTGACCCCCCCCAACCACCACTATCCTCACTCGTGTATTGTCTTCATCATACATGTGCTTAATCACCCTAGTGTAAGCCACCGGAATACCCCTAGCCTCCAAACACCTTCATAGGATCTCCCTCTAAACTTTGTCGTATGATTTCTCAATATCAATGAACATCATATGTTAGTTTCTCTTTCTCTCCCTATACTGCTCCACCAACGTCCTTACAAGGTAAATGGCTTCGGTAGTAGAATGTACCGGATCCGAACTGGTTTTTGGAAATAGACACGCACTTCCTCACCCTCACTTCAACCACTCTCTCCCCAACTTTCATAATGTGGATCAGTATCTTAATACCCCTATAGTTGTTACAATTTTTGATATATCCCTTGTTAATATACACCGGAATCATCATACTCTACCTCCATTCCTAAAACATTTCCGCCGTCCTAAATATGTTGTTAAACAATCTTGTGAGTCATTCCAAGCCAGCTCTACGCACGTTCTTCCAAAATTCTATCGGAATTTCATCTGGCCTAGTCACTCTTTCCATGCACATCTTATGCATAGCCACCTTGACCTCACCTATTTTGATATGAAAAAACCAAAGTCATGACGACTCCTGGAGTGCTCCAAATCATCCAACACAATACCCCTATCCCCCTCTTCATTTAGGAGTGAATGGAAGTATGTTTGCGATCTACGTTACAAAACAAAATCAGAGGAGAAACATATCTGACACAGAGGCCGTAGAGTTCTAGAGAAAGATGCCAATTAAAGAGTACTCTATAGAAGAGCAGCTAAGAAACACCCCCCATCCACATATCAATTATGGACATATTGATGAGTTCTTACAGTCACAAGGACGCTCTAGTAAACATTCTAAGTGGGGTGACCATGCCAGGCATTACCACCAGTCAGGCACTAGCAGTAACCATTGGGAAGATGGTGGCAGCAAATAAGATTTCCTTTCGAAGAGATGAACTTTCTATGGAGGGAATGGATCACAACAAGTCTCTACACATTACATTCAAGTATGGAGACAAAGATATATCTCGAGTACTTGTCGATGGGGGATTTGGAGTAAAATTTGCATGTTCTCCACTCCGCAAGAATTAAGCATCCATTTAAGGGAAGTAAAAGAAAGCCACATGAGGGTGATGGATTTTGATGTGTCACAGAAAGATGTAATCAGAGAAATCTACCTAGCTTTGCAAATTGGACCAGTTGAGTGCCCTATATTGTTCCAAGTGATGGATATTTCATCTTCATACAATTTGCTACTAACAGGGACCTAGATATACATGGTAGGGGCAGTTCTTTCCACTCTCCATTAGTGCATGAAATTTGAATGGGATTGTAAAAGATTATGATACATGGGAATTGAAGTTAATCAACTTACTTAGAACATGCAGTTACTTTTATAGAAGGGTTGGATAGGGTAGTTTTCCATGCAGCCGAGATCATGCAGGAAATAGAAATAGGGAAGAATGATCAGGATCACAACATGCAGTCACCACGTGGGTAAAAAATGGCAATTAGAGAAATGATGGAGTATAGGTAGAGACCAGGGTCCGGGCTGGGAGCCCGATCATATGGGATAACTAAGCCAATTCAATCCACGAGTGTAACAATCCGGCCGGTCATTTGGTGTATTGTAGCCATGTTCCCATATTTATTGATCTTTCTATGTTCATTTGTGGTTTTGTGACTTGTTAGGGTAGTTGGTTTGATTTTGGGGATGTTTCGGGATGAATTGGGACACTTTGTCCCAAGGTTGGAGGTCTAAGATGTAAGAGTTGACTGGAGTTTGACATTTGTGTAGACGACTCCAGAAGAGAGTTTTGATGGTTTCGATAGTTTTGTATGGTGATTTTGGACTTAGGTGTATGTCTGGATGTTGATTAGTAGGTCTGTAGGTTGGTCTGATGCTTTTTGGCAAAAGATGGAAAGTTGAAGGTTTGGAAGGTGGAGAGGTTTGACAGAGAGTTGACTTTATTAATATCATATTTGAATTTTGGTTCCAGAAGTTAGAATAGGTCCGTTGCGTCATTTATGACTTGTGTGAAATTTGAGGTCAATCAGAGTTGATTTGATATGTTTCGACTTTGGTTTTAGAAGCTGGAAGTTCATTAGTTCATTAGGCTTGAATTGATATGTGGTTCACAATTTTTGGTGTTGTTTGATAATATTTGGGGGTTCAAGTAAGTTCGTATCATGTTTAAGGACCTTCTGGTAAGTTTGGCTGATGTCCCGGGGCCCTTGCGAGTGATTCGGATGGTTGGCGGAACATGTTTACACTTAGAGGTAATGCTGATGGCTCCAGGCCTAGTGTAGGTGCGAGGCCGCAGAAGCGGCCCAGTGGTCGCAGAAGCACATTTTGGCCGGAGCTGGGAAGGCCACAGATGCGATGAATTTTCCGCATCTGCGATCCTGCATCTACGAGAAATGTTCTACAGAAGCAAAAATGTACCGGATGGACTGGAGTCGCAGAAGCGGAATGGATTTGCAGGTGCGAGTGCGAAGGAGCAAGGTTTTGACCGTAGAAGGGGTCCCGCGGGTGCGAATTTTGAACCGCAGGTGCACATGGTAGGAGTTTATTGATATTTCGCACCTGAGATGGTTTGTGTGCATGTACGGCATCGCAGGTGCGACCTCTTGGACCGTAGATGCGGTATCTCTGGGCAGAAATTATAAATCGAAGGGCTTCTTTGTTTTTCTTATTTTGGGATATTTGAAACTCGGATAAGGGCAATTTTTGGAGCACTTCTCACCATAATTGAGGAGGTAAGTGAAAATTAATCACTTTTGTTGTTAGATATTTGATTACTTATTAATTATTACACTTATTTTCATGAATCTTATATGGGATTTGGGGATTGTTGGACTATGTTATTGGAGAGAGAGATGTGATGATTTGAGGGTCGATTTGTGGTTAAAAATGGGTGATTTTGGTATAGTTGGAATTGTAATTGATTGGGTGTTCGGAATTTGTGAAGTCTGTCGGGTTCCAAGGTGTGAGCTCAGGGTTGACTTTTTGGGTTGACTTTGCATATTTGATTAACACCTTAGCTTTATCTTTTGGAATTGTTACCTATAGCTATTATTGATGGTATTAAGTTTCTTTGGCTAGATTCGAGTCTCTCTAAGAAGGATTCGCGAGGCAAGGATTTTTTGGAGTATTTATTTGCCCGCTTTGAGGTAAGTAACATATCTAAACTTGGATTTGAGGGTATTTAACCCTTGAAACTACGTTATATGAAAGATATTGGGATGTCGTACGTGCTAGGCGATGAGCGTGTGTACCTGCAATGATGTGTTCATTGTTTGGGCAGGCCCTTACGCTATTACCGGGATTGTTTTGGTATCATACCTTATTATACCCTGTGTGTTCCTCACTTGTTTGATTATTTGAACTATGATTCATGTTAGAAATCATGTCTAAGCTATGTGCTACTTGTTTGAGACTTGATATGGCTATTCTTGCCATTTCGGAGCTATTTGCCTTATTGTATGCATGTTCTCAGTCATGATGTTATATCTGTGTATGATATCACTGTCTCAGTATTTCTTATTTGATTCCTCACATATTATTGATGTCTCTTATATGTAACATTGATAATCTGAGTACTGTGAGATGTGTTTAACTGAGAATTGAACGACAAATGATTGAGTTTGGTCTATAGGGCGGTTTGGTCTTGATTTTGAGGTGACAGATACGCCAAGTCCATATTGGGCTAAGTGTTATTGTTTTGGGGCAACACGTGCACCAGGCCTCACTATTGGGATAAATGATTATGATTAGCGCTTCGGCAGGATCCGCCCCTCTGGAGTCTGACATGCCAACAGTGAGGACAGGCACAATATTTTATATACGTGCTAGATGATGGGCAGTTATGTTAGGCACCCGTGCAATGCTAAGTGTAAATATTATGAAGGATCCTCTATGATATTGTTGATTTCATATGTATACTTGACATGTAGGCATAAAGATGTACCTTCCTTATGCCAACTGTAAATGAAATGTTCTATCTGTGTTGGTTTCTAACTGTTATACTTGAAAGAATGTCTAAATTTTTGAAATTTGAACAAGCTGAACATAATATCCTTTAGCTAATTGCTTTCCATTGTTTCCCTTTATATATTCTGAGTTGCTACTGTTATTTGTCATTGGAATTTTGAATACTATTTTTGAGCTCGTCACTGCCTTCATTCGGTTGTACTCATACTACACTCTACACTTAATTCTACATATCCAGGTGTCGGGACCAGTCATCATTAGCGGAGTTGCTTGTTGAGCTGAGTTTCGAGAGACAAGGTAGATTTGCATTCTCGCCCGCAGTCTTTGTGTCTCATCTCTTATGCACTATTATCTTCATTTCATACAGTGTTATATTAGGTCATTTCAGACTTGTATTTTTGTATTAGAGCTCATGGCTCTGTATTTACTAGTTTCTAGGGGATTTATCCTGTATTAGAACTAATTCATTATATTGAGGTTTCAGACTTATGCTATTTCTTTAAATTCTACTACTTTGGTTCTTTATTGTTAAGTTTGACTGGCCTAGCTAGTGTGTTAGGCGCCATCATGATGGGTTGGGATTTTAGGTCGTGACAACGGGGCAGAAGGGTACCGCCGGTTTGGGATACCAACCTGCAACTAGAAGAATCTATAATGGTAACCCTGGGAAGAAGGTTGTCATACTAGAGCATGTTCGAGCTAGGGTCATAGCTCATCACAAGAAAAGGATATCATCAGTGGAATGGGAATATTTTTTGTGTCGATGATCGAAGAATGTTGCGGCTAAGCTGATATCAAGACACCGACCATTCAGGATGCTGAACAAGGAGAGACCTTAGAGAACTGGACAGCCAGTCCATCTCTAGTTCGCCGGGAGTCTTGGTAGTGTGAAATTGTAGTAATTTTAAAAAATACATGGTTAAGTGAGGCTTGAACCATGCCTGTGATTTTTTGTTAAAACGCCTCTTTAAACACTAAGAGTTCCTTTTGATGAAATAAAATAATTATTTTCCTAAAAATCATTACAAATTTATCTCTGTCTTTATTTATATTCAATTTTTCATTTCAACAATCAAATTAACAAAACAAATGCATACCGCGATTATGACATGTAACGAAACCCTCAAGCAAAACAATCTAGACTTCGAAGAGTACGACAAGAGTATGATTCACGAGAACATACCGCAAGAGATCAGACGGTTAGAAACTCAGAAAAACCTCAACCTCGACAAGATGGAGGTAATCAATCTCGGAATTGAAGAAAATGTAAAAGAGACCTGAATCAGCATCCACCTAAAGGCAAAACCGAAGGAAGAAATGGTGAAGCTCCTCCGAAAATACATAGATGTATTTGCTTGGTCGTATGATGACATGGTTAGATTAAGTATCGATATTCACACTGATTGCCTACCAATCCTACCAACCCACCATTCAAGCAGAAACCAGGAAATTCAAACCATATTTGAGTCTAAGGATCAAAGAAAAAGTCACCAAGTAGATAGAAGCAAATGTAGTAAGGCTCACTAATTACCCTACCTGGTTGGTGAACATCCTACCGGTGCCAAAGAAGTATGGGAAGATTAGGATATGCGTGTACTACGTAGATATCAACAAATCTAGTCCCAAGGATGACTTCCTTCTTCCAGATATCCATATCCTTATTGAAAACTGTGTAAAACATGAGTTGCAATCATTTGTGGATTGTTTCGTTGGATAACACCAGATCCTAATTCAGGAAGAAGAAGTTGAGAAGACAGCATTCACCACACCATGGGGAGTTTATTGCTATAGGGTCATACAATTTGGTCTCAAGAATGTCGGTGCAACCTACATGAGGGCCATGACGACTCTTTTTCATGACATAATCCACGAGGAGATTGAAGTATATGTGGACGATATCATCATCAGATCACAAAAAAAGTGTGGATCATTTGAATTATTTGAGGAAGTTCTTCAAACAGCTGCGAAGGTACAACTTGAAGTTGAACCCTGCAAAGTGTGCATTTGGAGTTCCCGTAGGAAAACTGTTAGGTTTCATCATCAGCATAAAGGGGCTAGAATTGGACCCCTCAAAGATCAAGGCCATTCAGTACTTGCTTCCTCCCAAAAGCAAGAAAGACGTGATGAGCTTCCTCGGAAGATTAAATTACATCAGCAGGTTCATAGCCCAGTCAACAGTTTCAAGTTATTGAAGAAAGATGCCGCTACGAAGTGGACAGAGAAATGTCAGAAAGCTTTCGATAGAATTAATGAGTATTTGTCTAGTCCACCAGTGGTGGTTCCTCCTGAAGCTGGGAACCCGCTGCTACTATACTTGTCCGTCTTGGATACTGCAATCGGATGTGTATTGGTTCAACATGATGAGACGAGTATGAATGAGCAATCTATTTACTACCTGAGAAAGAAATTCACGCCATATGAAGCCAGATACACCTTGTTGGAGTGAACATGTTGCGTTTTGACTTGATCACTCAGAAATTAAGACACTACTTGTCTGTGTATACCACATGTTGACGGTCAATTTCGACCCTCCCTTTTAAAAGTTATTTATTTGTACTAAACAATTTGAAATAAATGTTTTGAAAATATTTTTAATCAATAGTACCTATTGTACAAAAAAAGAATGAAGTATTAGTAGATTTGAAATTAATAATTACAAAATATTTCATGCTTACAATTTTAAGATTATTAAATAACTTTTATATACATCATATAGGCTTTATAATTAATTTAATAATTATTTCTTAATTTCTAATTAATTATATTACTATTTAATAATTCGAAATCAATTTCGTAATTTAGAAGACATGGTATTTTACAAATAATTAATTGCAATAACTAGTAGTATATTTGATAATTATAATTTATACATTTTATTAAAAATAATTATGTTTATTTAAAGATGTAACGACCCGACTGGTCGTTACAAGCAATTGCGTTAGGTTCTATAGTTTGAGGTCACGAGCAGGTTGATATTATGTGTATTGACTTGCGTGCACAGTCCGGGCATGAAACCAGAAAGTTTTTATGTGAAAATATGAAAAATATAGCAATTTCCAAAGATAAAATTTGGTTTTTAGTTGACTTTGGTCAATATTTTTGGTAAATGTACCTGTATCTGTGTTTTGACAATCTCGGGAGGTCCGCGGTAAAATATGAGACTTGGGCGTATGTCCGAAATTGAATTCCGAGGTCCCTAGCCGTAGAAAATAATTTTTGAAGAAAATTATTGTGCTGATTTTTAAAGGAAATAAAGAAATGAATTAATGTTTGAACTCGTTGGTATCGAGCCCTTATTTTGGTTTTGGATCCCGTTACAAGTTTTTTATGATATTTAAGACCTATCTGTGAAATTTGATGCGAATCGGAATTGATTTGACATGATTTGGACGTCCGGTTCAAAAGTTAGAAAATCATGAGTTTTGAGGTCAAATTCATAATTTTTGATGTTATTTTGATGATTTAATCACACGAGCAAGTCCGTATGATATTTCTAGACTTGCGTGCATGTTTGGTTTGGAGCCCCAAGGGCTTGGGTGAGTTTCGGATAGGTTTAGGCTATGTTGCGCTTGTTTTTGGATGTTTCATCGTCGTTTCTTCAAGAAAAAATGATACCACATTGAGAAAATGAGATCTAAATTCAGTTTTTACTGAATCATTACATCCCGAGCAAAATTACGGAGCCATAGGAAAAAGAATCATCAAATTTGGACATCGTATGAGGAAGTTATGCTCATTTTCGTGTCGGGAAAAATTGTTGGTTTCTGGTGTGGTCGCAAATGCGAACTTTTTCATAATTGTGATACCCAGTTCGCAAATGCAAACTTTTTGTCGCAAATGCGACTTCTGCCATCCCTTCCTTGGTCGCAATTTGCGAGGATTCGGAATGGGTCGCAAAGGCGACATCTGAGGCCTATTAAGTGAGATTTTTTACGGGATTTTCACCTATTTTTCAATTTTCTCAAACCCTAAACCTCCATAGGCGATTTTCCAAAGACCTAAACTTCTCCAAATCATTGGGTAAGTGTCTCTAATCAATTTACAACTATATTTTGTGATTATATCTTAGATTTAACATTAAATTCATGAGAATCTAAAGGAAAATTTGGGAGAAATTGTGAAATCTTTCAAAAATGTAAAATGATAATTTGAATGATCAAATGGTATCGGAATTAGATAATTTTTTTATGGGTGAACTCGTAGCGGAATTGGTATTCGGTTTTTGTAAATTTTGTCGGGTTCCGAGGCGAAGGCCCGGGGAGTTGACTTTTGTTGACTTTTTGCAAATTGTATAAGAATCATAATTTTGTTCATTGGAAATATTTTCTATTTCATTGTTTGATGTATTCAAGTTGTTTGTGGCTAAAGATTGAGCAGGGGATTGATGAATTGATAAAGCAAAAGCTAAATTGAGTATTGAATTGGCCAGATTGAGGTAAGTATCTTGCCTAACCTTGTGGGGGGACTTCCCCTTAGGAGTTGAGTCTTCTATGCTATTTGTAGTCCGTGCACGCGAGGTAACGAGTGTGTGCTTGGACTTATTTGTGGGAAAATTTGCCTTTAGGGTTCTTAGGTCCTTATGTTCATTATGTGGTAAGTATTCTGTTATGATTGAGCTTCCTAATTGCTTAACTTACCTCTATATGCTCCATACGATGTTGTTAGTTATCCTCTAACTCTTACTTGTTACTTGCCCCTTATTTGACTTAATTGAAGTGATTGTTCTCCTTATTGTTTTGTTATCTCTTAATTGTGAATTCCTCTATGACCCCGTGTATATATGCTATGTGTCCAAATTGTTGTTGTTGTCGGTGTAGTTATCACGTGCTTATTATGTCTTGTTGTTTTATTAAGGTTATTGCGCTTCTTGGTTTTTTTGTGGGTCTTACATTGTGATTGTTGTGATTCTTATTATGTACCATTTATGCTTAAATTGATGATTATTCATGTTGGACAAGAATTATGGTATTTTCTTGGTATTTGACCATTGTTGAGTATGGACTCAAGTTGGGATTTATTTTGTGAAAATAACTATCGGAACGAGATTGGTTATAGTTGATTCCCTTGTCGGGGTGTATTTGTTTCTATCATTAATTTCCTTGCCGGGATGTATTTATTTCTATCGTTGATTCCCTTGCTGGAATGTTATTGTTTCTACAGTTTGGGTAAGGAAAGAGTGATAAAGCACTAAGGGTGATGCCATGCACATTTACATTATATTGATGCATATGGTGAGGAAGAGTGATAAAGGACGAAGGGTGATGTCATGCACATTTATATTTATATTGATGCATATGGTGAGGAAGAGAGATAAAGCACGAATGGTGATGTCGTGCACATTTATATTATTCATATGGTGAGGAAGAGTGATAAAGCACGAAGGGTGATGCCGTGCACATTTACATTTATATTGATGCATATGGTAAGGAAGAGAGATAAAGCATGAAGGGTGATGTCGTGCATATTTATATTATTCATATGGTGAGGAAGAGTGATAAAGCACGAAAGG